AGACATAACATGAGAAAAGTTTCATCATACTAGCCACGATCAACAATTTCTTTACTAAGATATATAGTGCTATACTACATGCTATCACTGTATTTCCTAATTCAAAACTACTGTAATTAGCTAAAATCATTATAGCAACATTTATTAATTTATACATAAAGTAATAGAATGATTTTTAGCGACTCAATCATAGCTTACCAATTAAGTTGCGAGATCGCTTCTAACTTTACGATCGCTCAATCTATTCACACTTCTAATTAACGCATCACAATAAATATCTCACACTCCTCACATACTTAGAGCAATCTAGTTATGTTTAGGAATCTTATTATAAGCATCTCAATAGAATTGTTACAAACCTACTATATTCCTAAAAATAGCCACTTACACAACCTTAAAATCTAACACGCTAGTTTAAGTATTCTTGCATATTCTGAGCCTTAATGTTAGTCATATTTTGGAGCTGCAATATTGTTACAGTGTTATATACTGTGTTAGAGTAGAAATATCTATGTTAGGATAATTCTGTTAGCCTATCCTTATTTAGTTAACTTCTAATTTGAATATACTGTGTTTTAATATAGCACTGACTTTTTATGACAGTAACACATATACACATACTGAAATTAATAGTTATAATAGGGAATGCAAATCATCTACTTACAGTTCGAATCATTGTGATTGTAACTTACTTATGGTAGATTGTAAATTATCGTGGAAATGTTCCGTGATAGGACATATCGTAATCTGACTATTTTGTATTAGTCATCGCCTGTCTATGTTCGTAAATACTGCTGTCTGTATTAAGGGAGCAGTAGCTATAATTAATATCTAATTCAGTATATGATTCCAAAGTTAATCGTACTAACTATGACTCATGAACTATTGAGGAATAGTATATAAATGCAGTATATCGTGCAATAAAGTGGATTCTCAAACTTAGTGTTTAACGTAAAATACGAGGCGTTTAAGTCTTTGTGTAGTCTGCTAGTAGAGCAAAAGTGTTTCTGATATTCCAGATATAGTTCCTTGATACGTGGTTCAAGGAATTGACTTATTGATCGTATATTACGTTATCTTGTTGCAAAGCTGTTTTATGACAAATATATAAAGATATTAAATATTTTGAGCTTTAAATATAAAAAAAAAATTGGAGGGAAATATATGTGCCCTGGTGTTATCGTAAACAAGAAAAATTAAGCTCGATATTTCAGTTACTAAAGTCTCAAATCGGTAAAGGAGCAGCCATTTCATGAAAATAGCAAGCATTGGCTAAACAGTTAACTAAAGTGCATAGCGTACAGTAAAGGCAAATATAGCGAAGACTGGATCAAAGGGCTATAAGGGAACCATTCTTGAGATGAGGTAGGAGTAAATTAATTATCTTGATTTACAAGATTTAATAGAATGTAAATTTCTTCGTCTACTATTAAAGTATTTACGTATAATTCTTTTAATATCCATGTTAAATTGTTCGAAACTTCCCCAAAATTTTAGTAAGTCAGTATTGTAAGCAAGCGTTAAAAAATTGAAATTGATTTAAATAGAATCATACGATTGCTTATTGCTATTTTGGGCAACTTTATCTGAAATCCTTTAGCAAGTACAACATCTTTTAGGCCAAAAGGAGGAAAGTAATACTACCATAAAGCGATTATACATATTGATATTGTCGGCAAAGATCATTCAGTTCCTTATAAAACTTGTAGACTAACCACGAAATTTTACTTAAACTAAAAACTTATTTCTCTTCAAAACTTTATAATTACTTGTTCGCCAATTTTGGGGAGGGGGAAAGATACTGGTCTATACGTTATGCTTTATGCATTTTTCTGAGATTGTGCTAAGGATATTGGATTTTTTCGAGCGAGATTAATCTATGAAATCGATCTTAAAACTGATTTATTGATTGGATAGACACTCTTTCTTGGTAATAATTGTATTTCAGAAGGTGCTAAATTTAATAGACTCTTCTTGTTTAATAGCAATTTTTAGCGATAATAATCACAAAAGTATAGATTATTATTCCCATTCCCATTTACAATAACAGGATATACGAAGAAAGCTTTAATTTATTTATGTTTATTTAGCACTAACAGGTTTGGAGGAACGCAACTCATCCATTATGGACTGATATAGACAGTTAGTAACTTGATATTCTTGTAAATTTATGATCTCGAAAATCGTTAATTATATTATCATTATCTTTATAGAAAGGCTAATTGAGGAAAATATCTACCTGAAACCATATGTAGTGATTTCAATTAAATACTGTTACAATATGCTTTGAAAGCGTATTAGTAATATAAAGTATAGCACTGCGTGGACTAAAATGGTTGTATGTTCTTAATAAAGTAGTTATGGATGATGGCTTGTAATATGAAACGGTGCACTGTACTGTTGGTACTATGTTATGAATTTGAAACTTTGGAATTTTATGACGTGACATGAAAGTCACATTAGGAAAGTTTAGTGAGGAATATAGAAAATAAGATGGAAATAGGCAGAGGTTGCGTTGATTGTTAAGTAGTTAGACTGTTATTTTTATGACTAAATCTTGATGTTTAAAGGTTAATTTTTAGACTTTTATAGTGCATTAATGATAGAAATTATGTTAGAAGTGTAGTTTGATGTATTCTATAGTAAACTTGTTGGTTTTATAGTGTTTTGTAAGGGAATCATAGGGTAAATTGTGTCTGAACTTTGAATGATTTTTGTTTTCTT